CATGGGACCTTTGTTCATGCCCCCCAAGGTCTGGGCTAGTGCTATAGAACTCGCCAGAAAGTTACCTTAATGGAATGGAGAAATAATCAATCAAGGGTGCTCTCAAACTCAAGCTTCATAATGCATCTAAATTTCATTACAAAAATATTTTTCCGTAAAAAAATACATAAATGGTAAACTATTCCATTTCTATAATCACTCCCTACTCCCATGTATATCATGCCACTCGTCTTACACTAGAATGAATGGGCACACCCCTCAGGTAAGGCTCCATCACACCATTTGAGTCCATCTCTCTCGCTTTTTCAAGCTATGCCAATTGTGCTTAAAAATATGCTCCCAGACCCAGGTAGGGGGGTCCACAAGTTCACCTCCCTTACAGTGGGAAGGACTGCAGGAGGTCACACATTGCATGAAGCCCACCCCAGGAATGTCAGAGTGGGATAGTGCAGGCTCAGAAGGGAATACAAGGAAGTATTTGGTTGGTAAACATGCAGAGGCAATGCCCAAGCTCTGCCTACTTTATTCCACCTGGGCCAGACCTGCAAGGTTCTGCCTCAGGCTCCTGGGATGAAATTCACAGCTCTGAAGAGGGCTGGGTAGGGGTGGGGAAGAGAATGTTGTGTTCATACAGCTTTGGAATACAAACTGTGATTCTGAAAGGATAGAAAAGAACATAAACAGTGATGCTAAGGCAAACTTTCAAATGGCACATCAGAACGCTTTTTTTTTTTTTTTTGTCATTCGTTTTGTTAACATCACAAGGCAGATACATTCTGTAAACATATATACCATACAGTACGTTAACCATAGGGGGGGAAAGAAAAAGCCACCCTGTCATTCTTTTCTTTCTGTATTTCTGTTCTTTTACTCCAGAAGGACTGCCTGAAGTCTAGAGGGAATTTTGTGGTTCATAAGTTGTACTTTTCTTTTAATAAAAATGCAATGACTTGCAAAAAAATAGCCCCAGGTGACTAGTAAGAGGCAATATGGGGAGAAGGTGAACCTGTAGAAACTTAGAAAATAGTCACAAAATATTAAAAAGTCATTAATTTCAGGAAACATTTTGTTTCCCTGCTTAGTAAAAGAGAGCACTGAAAAATTTTTACAAAAGTTAAGGCTGTCCAGATCTTTGATGCAGAAAGTTTGTGGTTCCCCAAAGATATATATTATATTTTCACATTGAAAGCAAGGTTTTTTGTGCTACAGTTCCGACCTTTTTATTTTAGACTGGAGTGGAGAGGGGACGCAGAGGCCTATTTAAGTCATATAAAAATTAAGGGGTAGGGGATGAGGTTGGTCTAAGGATCCCCAGGGAAACTGCTCTTTGAAACGTTCAGGATGTAATCTTTATTCTAGCCTTTTCTACATTCAAATAATAAGTATTTTGGTTTTAAAATGGAGATTTTATCATGTGGTTTGCTGAAGCTATGAAAATAGAGACACATAACAGCATCACGCTCCTCATAAGAGATGGATTTTTCTTTTTCCCTAGAAAACGCAGGGAAGTTTTCCTGATTAGACCAGAAGAGGTCTACACAATGAAGGCGAACTGGCAGCAGGAATCCC